TAATTTATCTTGCCCCCAACGCCTACTATCCCCTTTGGTAACCATGTTTGTTTTCTATGTCTGTGACTCTATTTCCATTTTGTAAATAATTCATTTGTATCACTTTTCAGATTCCACATATAAATTATATGATATCTGTCTTTGACTAACTTCATTTAGTGTGATAATCTCTAGGTCCATCCACGTTGCTGCAAATTACATTATTTCATACTTTTTATGGCTGAGTAATATTCCATTGAATATATGTACCACATCTTCTTAATTTATTCATCTTTCACTAGGCATTTAGGTTGCTCCCATGTCTTGGCAATTGTAAATAGTGCTGCTATGAACATTGATGCCCAGGAGTAAGACTGCTGGATCATATAATAGATCTATTTTTAGTTTTTTAAGCAACCTCCATACTCTTCTCCACAGAGGCTGAAGCAATTTACATTTCCACCAACAGAGTAAGAGGGTCCATTTCTCTTCACAGCCTCTATAGCACTTATTGTTTATAGATTTTTTGATGATGGCCACTCTGACTGGTATAAGGTGATATTTCATGGTTGTTTTGATCTGCATTTCTCTAATAATTAGCAATACTGAGCATCTTTTCATGTGCCTGTTGGCCATCTTCATGTCTTCTTTGGAGAAATGTTTATTTAGGTCTTCTGCCTATTTTTTTTTATTAGACCATTTGCTTTTTTCATATTAAACTATAGGAGCTGTTTGTATATTTTGGAAATTAAAAAACACTTGAATATTAAGATATGTGTGTAAGGTACTATGGTGGAGGAGGAAGGAGAAAATTCATTGCTTAAGAAAGAAAAAGAGCAAGTGATTTTAAAACCTGTTAAGTTTCTACTCTAAAAAATGTTACCACTTATCCCTTAAAGGTATGCAGCTGCTTTCCCTGCTGGAATATCTCACATATAAATTAAGTCATTTTTCCCCATGTAGAAATTTTATTATGATTTTGTATCTATTCTAACTTACAGCGCTATACAGCTTTTTAGGTGAGGCTATCTTTTGTTCCTCTAAATAACATAGATTAAAAATAAATTACCTGTAGAAACCAACACCAGCAATATTACTGCTACACTTCACAAAAGCTGTACCACAGAAAAATCACACAGATGTTTATTGATAATATATACATGCTCATAATTATAAACTTAACTACTTAATGTGTAAGCTATGAATAACTTCCTGAAATGGATCTTTTTATTATTACTAACTTTGTAATTTCATTTCTTTCACATAAAGTAGTACTTAGGATTGTAGCTGTAGTCTTGAAGACTATCCACACACAAATTATGCATTTATTAGAAAATGTGTAGGCTAAAACTATGGGGCTCAACTGTCAGAATCTATGATAATTTCTGGATAAACATTTGTAATTAAGATAAACCAACACTGAAGGACCCTATAAGACTTTATCCAATTTTTGAACATCTAAGTATTCAAATAAATATAATATTTCTGCATACAAGAGAAAAACTATCAATGCTTCTTTTCCATCAATCAAGTCAGATTTCCCTGAGAAGACACAATCCTCCTTTAAGTTCTAACAGACAGAGACATGAATTTAAAATATGATGATGGGTCAACATCTTAAAATTATTAGTAAATTATAGTTGTACCATTCTTATACCATCTGCAGATTCCTGAGTAAGTATTTTCCCAAGGTTTATACTACCACTATTTCCATGGGCTCCTTAGACAGGTTAAAATGCAGATGCTTAAAACATCTGAACTCTATTACCTTCATAATACTGAGACAACAGAAAAGTCTATTCACAGAGCTTCAAACTTACAGATGTCCATGAAAAGACTAATTTATAATTTTCCCCTTTAAAAGGAGCAATACCTCTGATTCAGTACTGTCTTGTAAAAGAAATGTATCCTTTGAGCATAACAAGCTACAGTCCTCCCATTTCTTTATATCAAGCTGGGAAACTTTTAGTTCTAATTCAAAATCAGATGTTTTCTACAGAGGATCTGTGTTTTAACCAGTCCATGACTTCCCATTACCAGATTCCATGTGGAAAGTAATCAGAAGTCACTGAATATAAATACTTTGTACAGTCTTTGTTGTTTAATTTCTTTCAATTTTTTTCTTTTATGTTGTGTTTTATTTTTAAATTTACTTAAGTAATAAAATATTTAAAATACTTCATGTTTACCTTGTTTAAATCCCTTTATGAATCTTTTCTTTAAAAGAATGTTTAAAAGAAATACCCTAATTTCCCTCACTTCCTAAAGCATCGGCCTTCAGTAACTTTCCAATTTTGAAGTTTTAACTATGGCTTGGATGTAGTAAGGAAATAAATAAGAATTTTTAATAGTAGCACTGAGTAATTATATTGAGAGTTTTTTTAAGTAATTTTATTTATTTATTATTTTTGGCTGTGCTGGACACTCCTTGCTGCTCAGTCTCTTCTCCAGCTGTGGTGAGCAAGGGCTACTCGCTACTTGCGGAGCATGAACTTCTCATTGCAATGGCATCTCTTGCTGAGAGCACAGGCTCTAGGACACACGGGCTCAGTAGCTGCGGCTCCCAGGCTCTAGAGCACAGGCTCAGTAGTTATGGCACATGCGCTTAGTTGCTCCAAGGCATGTGGTATCTTCCAGGATCAGGGACCGAACCCATGTCTCCTGCACTGGCAGGCAGATTCTTTCCCACTGATCCACCAGCGAAGTTCCTATATTGAATTTGAAGTGAAATTATAAAGTGAAGAACATGATTACTGTCTTGCTATATACAAATCATTTTTTTGCTTATCTCTTGGTAATACTTTTATAAGACCTATCATCTAGATCATCACATTCTCACATTTTAGGTTTAAGAGGTGAGGAATGGTTCTTTAACTTTACATACTAAACGATGGTTTAGGACTTCCCTGGTGGTCCAGTGGTTAAAACTCTGTGCTCCCAACACAGGGCACACGTGTCTGATCTCTGGTGGAGGAAAATAATGCATGATGCAGCCAAAAAAATTAACAGTGGTTCATGCCAAGATACAAAACTCAGAATGATAAAGAATGGAATATTCTTCTCTTTCACCCTCACTAGCATAAATTAAAATAAAAAAAATAAAGATTACACAACTCATGTTTCTCAAACAGCATTACTTAAAAATGATTAATTCATTATCCTACCTTCATCTATGAAATCCAATGTAAGAATCAGAAAATATGCTTAAATATATTCTTTCTCCAGTCCCTAAAACTATCATACAAGAGCTCATCATCCTAAGAAGCATGCCAACTCTCATACTGTAGAAGAAAAAGATCTATTTAAACACGACCTGGATCACTCACAACATCTGATTTCATTTAGAACTTGACATTATAGTCACTTTCAAAATATATACTTTAAAACTCTTCTCTCTCAACTGCCCCTTCAAAGTTTGAAAATTCTTTCAAATACAGTATCTCTTACTATAAAATGACTAAACTGAAACTTTTCAATTCAAAATATTTAAACAAGAAACTTAAAAATTGATATAAACTCATAAAAAGAATATGATCTACAGATGAATAAAGAAATGCCTATATTCATTTTCATGTTTTCAGAATTAAAGCTGCACACCTTAATTACCTGTTATTCAATTTGTTATTACAGATGTGTACAGAAACACACAAAGGAATATCCTCAAATAAACAAAACTTTCTCAATCTACTGTTTCTGTATTCTGACACAGGATAAACTTAGATAAATTTACATTTCACATTTGCAAAACAAATTGTGGTATATGTTGCTTTAAAAAGAAACAGGATTCAGTGATTCTCAATAATCAAAAGTAGGTTGCTTTATATGAAACACCACAATGTGCTACTCTTCAAATAAAAAAAAAAAAAATTCAAATATGTCAGTTTTACCTGGGGAGAAGAGAGCTAGATGTTTGGGCTTCCTGTTTATGTGTGTTTCTGAGTCTGTTTAATTCTAAAAACAGCCTCTCTCCAACTCCTTTCAAAAATCAATATTTTTTCAGTAAATATGAGCATATACTGTATAATAAAAGGCATAAAGATAATGTGTACTTCCAAAGTGCTACAATAGTCCAAATAGAAAAAAAAAAAAAAATCAGTGTTTAAATTTCCCCACATAGCAAGTCAATGTTAAACAATGTCATTTTTTCCCCTTTCTCCCTATCCATTCCACAAATCAGGACTACTGAATTTGTATATTTAATAAGATGAACAAGCTGACTAGAAGCTCTGGAGCAATAAAAGAAAAAGAAATCCTTTTCATTTCCCCACAAACAAAAAGATAAAACAAAAGCAAATATGAAGACTTGTTAATTTGAAAAACCCAACGTGACCAGCTTTTGATTTACCCCAGTCTGACAAGGAAGACAGACCCCACCCCCACTCCAGATTGTGCCTTTTTTTTTCTTCCTTGGGTGGGGGTGTGGAGAAGAAGCTGTCACATTTCCATCTTCGGGTATTGTTAAGTCCACAGCCTAGATTCCCAAGTATTACTGGTCCAGGGGAAAAAAACATTAAAGCAGATAATTAAAACTGTCTGAAATGCACAGTATTTTGCTGAGGCTTTTTTCCCATTTTTAAAGTTAATTATACTCAGCTTCAATCTGCAAAGACTAGATTGCCTTTGACAGCCTGTCCCTCAAACGTTCCCTGTAAGACCGCTTGCTCCAGATTCACTAACAGTTCGCTCCTCTCTAAACTTAAATTAGAAAAACGCATTCAGAAATGATTACGTCCAGAAAGCCATACTTCCCCATCCTTTTTGCTTCGGCGTGGGGTGCAGAACGAAGAATAAAAAAGAGACCTATTCGCTCTTCAAACAAAAAGAAATGGGGGTAGTGGGGGAAGGAGCAGCAGTGGACCTGACGAAATGTTGAGAAAAGTTTTTTATGTGACTAGTTTGTCCTTTGGCAGAGGATAGGGAGTTGGGCAAAAAGCCGGGGTCCTGGCTCAGGGCTTGTGCAAAGAGAAGGCACCTGCGGAAGAGGAGGCCGGGGACCGGAGAGAAGCCGAGCGAGCACCTACCGACTTGCAGCACATTCTCCACGGAGCCGCTGTCCAGCAGACGGATGCCCCGGCGGAACGGGAGCCCCTCGCCGCCTACGCCGCCGACCACTCCAGCCCCAGAGCCCAGTCCGGGGGACGCCCCCGCCACGGCGGCCCCGGGGGCGGAGCCGGCCGGAGCGGCGGCCCCGGGGGGTGGTGGCGGCCCCTCCTCGGCCGGCGAAGCCCCCGCGGCGCCGCCAGCCGCGCCGGCGCCAGGGCCGCCGCGGTACTGGAAGCTGGAGTACATGCAGATCTCCCGCTCATTCCGCGGGAAGGACCAGTAGACGATGCGGCGCTGCACGGGCTCCGGGATCCGCTCAAAGCGCTCCTCCACCCGTTCGTACGCCCACTTTTCTGCTACCGTCTTGGCGGCGCAGTCCAGCAAGGACTCGGGCTGCAGGTGGGGGGGGGCCCCCGGGGGTAGGCAGCTGCCGCCGACTCCCTCCACCCCGCCGCCGGCCGCCCCGGGCGAACCGCGAGGGTGGTGAGCCTGCGGACTGGGCCACGAGCACAGGCGCTTGGCCGGAGAGACCGGCGACGGCGAGAGCAGTTCCTCTCGCTCACCTCCTTCCGCCATTGCTGGGGACTGACTGACTGACTGAGGCGGCGGCGGCGGCACCGGCTGCGGCGGAGACCCCGGCCACGGCCACGCGCCCCGCGCAAGCGCCCAGCTGCGGCACCGGGGGGGCGGGGCGAGCAAACCCGCGAGCCGGCCGGCCCGAGTGGGGAGCCTGGGCCGGTCCGGTGCGCGCGCCGCGAGGGCCGGCAGGGGCGGCCAGAGGACGAGCGGGAGGCGGCGCGCGCTGTCCGGGCCGCCGCGAGCGCGAGGAGGAACGGGAGCGAGCGCGGGCTGGCGGCGCGCACCAGGCGCAGACGGCCCAGAACGCGCACCGAGCGCTCGCGCCGGGCCGACTTCCACCTAGGGGACACCCAGGGACGAGGAGCTCCCGGCACCCTCGCCAGCCCGCGCGCCTCCGACCCACCTGCAGCCTGGAGGGAAAGGAGTGGACTGTGCGGCCAAGTGCAACGGCCCGGAGCGAGTATTGCGCGAAGCCGCAAGCAAAGTGCTAGGCTTGCGGGGCGGAGAAAGAGAACTCAAAATCAAGGGTCCTCTGGTAGATGGACCAGACGGGCGACGGCCACAGAGGAGCGAATGATCTGGCAGAAAGATGCTAGGAGGACGCTAGGGGGGAAAATCGGAAAGTTCCATTGCTGAAAACTCGCCTCACACCACAGCAATGTAGAATAGTCAGCGGTCCCCTCCAGAGCCAGGCAAAGTCGCGCCAGCCCCTGACTGGACAATGGGGCGCCAAGATCTCACCGCCACGGCAGTTACAGCCTCCGTGGGTTTTGAAGGGTTTTAGAACCTTGCATCCTAGGGAACAAAACACTTTCGTGCGGTTTTTAGTACAATTCTCTAATCACCTGAGTCCAGTCTCAATTAGGGCTTTATATTTTACTCACTTGGCTCAGTCTTCTGCACATTCATATTAATTATAATAAGTAACACACATATTTTTATATATTTGTGTAATGGTCCGTCAAGTCAAAGCTATCGTTTTTCTAGTAGTCATGTATGGGTGTGAGAGTTGGACTATAAAGAAAGCTGAGCGCCGAAGAATTGATGCTTTTGGACTGTGGTGTTGAAGGAGACTCTTGAGAGTCCCTTGGACTGCAAGGAGATCCAACCAGTCTATCCTGAAGGAAATCAGTCCTGAATATTCACTGGAAGGACTGATGCTAAAGCTGAAACTCCAATACTTTGGCCACCTGGAGAGATCTGCCTCATTTGAAAAGCCCCTGGTGCTGGGAAAGATTGAAGGCAGGAGGGAAGGGGATGACAGAGGATGAGATGGTTGGATGGCATCACCAACTGGATGGACATGAGTTTGAGTAAGCTCAGGGAGTTGGTGATGGACAGGGAAGCCTGGCGTGCTGTAGTCCATGGGGTCGCAAAGAGTCGGACATGACTGAGCCACTGAACTGAACTGTGATGTCCAACTGCCTGTGCCCTCCATGAGAGCAAAGATCATGCCTGTTTTCTTCTTGATAATTTATACTCTGACACAGCAACTTTGCCACTAACTCCTCCATAAACAATATTGAGTTGTAAGTGACGGTATGTTGGTCAGTCAAGAAAACTTATTTCAGGTTGCAGACAAATTAATCTCTAAAACATTAAAATGTTCCAAAAACTGTACTGAGAGTTCCTTCAATTGTGTTCTCCCTCCAAAATGAAGGAGTTCTAGAGTGTAGTATAAAATAAGGATTAGAAAAGAGTAAGTGACTGGAGATGGACAGGGGCCAAAGTAGTTTGATTTTGCTATAATCTCAGAATTTAAAGGGGCTCCCCTTGTGGCTCAGCTGGTAAAGTTTCTGTCTGCAATGCAGGAGATCTGGGTTTGATCCCCGGGTTGAGAAGATCCGCTGGAGAAGGGGAAGGCTACCCAGTCCTTCTGGCCTAGAGAATTCCATGGACTGTTTAGTCCATGGGGTTGCAAAGAGTCAGACACAACTGAGTGATTTTCACTTCACTTCAGAATTTAAAAAGTATAGCTATAGAATTACAGAATTACAGTGTAAATCACACTTGCTACTTGTATGATGCTAATCATATTATTTGTAAAAGGGAGGTAGTAATGATAAATGATAACCTACACATAAAATTTACTAGAAGTAATTCAAATCTAGTGTTTATTCGGTGTAGTAGATAACATGTTTATATCTGTAAGTGGATTTATATCTGCAAATATCTAAATGAATTATTGTGAAGTAGCATAAACCCTTGTTGTTTAGTCACTAAATCACGTCCGACTCTTTGCCACCCCACGGACTATAGCCTGCCAGGCTCCTTTGTCCATGAAATTTCCCAGACAAGAATACTGGAGTGGATTGCCATTTCCTTCTCCAGGGATAGAACCCAAGCCTCCTGCATTAGCAGGGGGATTCTTTACTGTTGAGCTACCGTGGACGCCAGCATAATCCCTTGCTGTGCTGTGCTGTGCTTGGTTGCTCAGTCGTGTCCGACTCTTTGTGACTCCAGGGACTGTAGCCCCCCAGGCTTCTCTGTCCATGGGAATTCTCAGTCAAGAATACTAGAGTGGGGTGCCATGCCATCCTCCTCCAGGGGATCTTCCCAACCCAGGGATCAAATCCAAGTCTCCCACATTGCAGGCAGATTCTTTACCAGCTGAGCCACCAGGGAAGCCCAGCATAATCCCTCAACCCCCTTAAATCTGGTACCACAATTACAGACTTTCATGACACCCATTCTTTTCCTTCCTAGAACTTATCAGAGTTTATTTTGAGGGTGAGTATTCCTTTAATGCCTTTCTCCCTAACTAGATTATGAGCTAATGTAAGAGCAGAAAATATTTCTATGTAAAGGCCTATCTCTAACACTCACTGTAATGCTACATATATTATTGTTGTTGATCAGTCGATAAAGTCGCATAAGACTCTGCGACCCCATTGACTGCAGCACACCAGGCTCCCCTGTCCTTCACTATCTCCTGGAGTTTGCTCAAATTCATGTCCATTGAGTCAGAGATGCTAGCTAACCATCTCATCCTCTGCCGACCCCTTCACCTTTTGCCTTCAGTCTTTCCCGCATCAGGCTCTTTTCCAGTGAGTCGGCTCTTTGCATCAAGTGGCCAAAGTATTGGAGTTTCAGCATCAGTATCAGTCCTGCCAATGAAAATTCAGGGTTGATATCCTTTAGGATTGACTGGTTTGATTTCCTTGCAGTCCAAGGGATTCTCAAGAGTCTTCTTCAGCATGCTGCTCAAAAAAAAAAAATTTGCTTTCTGAATCAATGAATATGTTTGAGTAAATATCTGATTTACTCAACAGCTGGAAAATATGGTTAATAGAGGTTGAGACGTAAGAAGACATGTTACTTAAACATTTATTAACAGTCAAGTTTGTTTCTTACAAGTTTGATTTAACTAGGTGTTTTTCCTTACCTGGAGGACATCAAAATTTATAGAAAAGTACAAAGAATAGCATATCTATACCCATATATTCACCACTCAGAATTAATAATTATTACTTAATATAGCAGAAATCCACTTTAACTGCCTCCATATAGCATCCCTGGGAGCAAGTACAACTTGAGTTTTGGGGTCCATTTTTAAATTATGTGTGTGTGCATATGTAACATTGTTTTGTGTATATTTCATTTAATTAAATGGTATCACAGCTGCCTACTATCACATTGGTAACTTTCTTCTTCCATTGCATACTGTTTAATTACCAATTAAATTTGGTAATATGTAATTGAATTTGTAAATATTTAGATGATGGGTAAATAGATGGGTAAAAATTTAGATGATGATGTTTTTGTTTTCCAATTTTTTCTTAGCTCTCTGTGTACTTTTTAAACCTTCTATATAAATCTTATAATCTACTCTGTTTCCAAAATTCCTTCAGGAATTCTTCTTGGAATTACATTAAATTTATAGATTAATTTGGGGTCAACTATAACTGTTTTCATAAATATAATGTATCCTTGCATTTATATGAGTGTTCCTTGCCAATTTTTTTAAAAGCACTATTTTATTATTACTCTTAAATTTATTTTGTGACCCTAGTGATTGATAGATCTTTTCCAAAATATCATTAAACAAGAAACAATCTCATCTCTGCCAGCTTAAGATCAAGTTAGTGAGATACGATAAAAACATGGGCAAAGTTAACTAACAGTAAAAGACTGTAATGATACAAAAAAAGTAATAGATTCAGAAGATTGTCAGGTGATTTGAAGAAGCACTGATTATTTTGGGAATCAGAAGAAATATCGGTTTGGGTAAAACTTGTGAGAGGGTGCTCTATTGTAGTCTTATTTCATCTAGGTCTTGGAGAATGAATAGGATTCAAATATGCCCCAAAGCTTAGGTAAGGAATTTCAATTATTTTGAATAACTTCAGCAAAAGCCCAAAAGCTGAAAAGTACAGAACATTCATGGAACAGTTAAAAATAAATGTTTGTATATAAAAATGGGAAATAAAGATTAAAAATACCTTTTAAAGCCAAATTATGGGTAATATTAAATGCCAGGTTAAGGAATATGAAGTTAAGTATATAGTACGGGCAATGGGGAACCAAGATAGTGAAGGTTGTTAGACATCTATATAGCATGATAGCACTGAATGTAACCTATGTTTTTCACATCTCTTCCCTCGTTAGTATGCTTTGTGTGGTAGTCACTCAGTCATGTCCAACTCTTTTCAATCTCATGGACTGTAGCCCACCAGGTCCTCTGTCCATGGAATTCTCCAGGTAAGAATACTGGAGTGGGTAGCCATTTCCTTCCCCAGGGGATCTTCCCGACCCAGGGATCAGCCCCAGGTCTCCTGCATTGTCGGCGGATTCTTTACCATCTGAGCCGTGAGGGGAGCCCCAGTGTGCATTGTACTTAGCACATAATAGACCCTCAATAAATGTTCCATGAATGAATGAATCGTCTGGCTGTGATGTGGTGAATCTATTCAAAGGGGAAAAAAAGAGACAGAGAAACCTTTTAGGTACCTATTCCAATAATCTGGTCATGAATTGTAGTGGCCTCAATTCAGATG